CTCATTGTTCATAATATAATTATTATTATATATGCATATATATAATATTATATATATAAATAAAATGTAGAAAAAGTTATGAAATCATATATGCAGTTGCTAACCACAGAAATAGAAAATGTATTCATGAAATTATCACAAGTTGATAATAGAAAATGAATGAACTGTTATTTCTCATCTTCGAGATGCTAAAAAATAATTAATTTTTAATAACTAATCTCTCAATCCCATTTTATTATTATTAATTTCGAATGGAGATAATACATGACTCGTTCATTTCCAAAAGTTACACCCACCCTTACGTCAACCACGTGAAAAATAAAAATAACATAAATTTTTGACGCGATCTGTGTTCGATGAAGTCGAAACACTTAATGCACTTTGTATTTGAAAAATACGAACAAAAAATATTATATTTATCGTGCTACAAAAGAAAACAGAAAATTGTCAAACGCATACACCACCACCACCACCACCATCACCATCAACCACGTTTTCTCTACGGTGGAAAAGAAACGACAGGTTCTTTTTTTTTTTATTTGTATGATTTCAGAAAAAGAAAAAGTAAAAGAAAAAAAAAAAACGTTGATGGATATGACGGACACATTGCGAATGGCAGTAAAGTTTGTCTCGTTATATTTTTTTTTGTTGAAATGCTTTCGTTTGATTTTTTTTTTTCATCTAGATAGGATCGATTTTGAAAGTTTTTTTAATCGAACAACATTACATACAAAAATTTCAATTAAAAAACGGTATATATACGATGATATTTTATCTCAATTAAAAAAAAGAAAAAAAAATCTCCACAGATAGATACTCGCGGTATCAATGTAAATTAATTAGGATTTGCTTTTTCTTTTTTTTTTTTAATCTTCTTTTTATCATCTTTAACGCGTCACATGAAAATGACCAAGAGAGACAAAAATGTAAGAGCTTTGGGAGGAGATACATACATAAAAACTATTTATACAATGAGATTAGATAAGATCGGACCATCGATCGATCGTGTTACGGTTTTAAAGTTGACAAGAAGAGTACGGTTTCGTTAGCTGTCAAGGATCGTCTGCGGGACACGTTGAAAATCCAATTTTCTATGAAGTCACGACCCAGACAGACAAATTTCATCGTTCCACTATGTGAAAAGGATTTAACGAAAACTTCCACTTCGTATATTAAATAACTCAAACATTTAATGTTATCATTAAATCTACCCGGATTATTTAAATATATTTATTTATGCATAACTTAACCGGTATATACAATTTAAAACTGGTTTTTAAATTAAACATATATATATATGTATATATATTTTGATTAAAATAGAATGTAAAAATAAATAATAAATAAAATAATATTCATAATATATGAGAAACGTCGCGCATAAAATTGAAAGGGGTGAGTGGGGGGGGGGAGGGAGGGGAGAAGTTTTAACACATCGAATATAGAATTTAAATGAAAAATATTAAACCAGTCGTTGTACGTTTAATATTATATAAAAAAACACGTATGTATATGTATTAAAAAAAAATCTTATGGCAAATTTAATTGTAAAAATTATTACGTATCGATTTTGTATACAATTTACGGACTTTATCTTTGCAATAATTTTCTAATCAACGGGTCAAGAAATTCAAGAGTACACTCGAACGATTCACCAATAGATGATGATGATAATGATGATGCACTTTGCAATACTTAAATAAGACTTTTAAATTCGATAAATGAATTTCATTGAGGTTTCTTCTTTTACGTTGGGTTGGTTGGTGGTAATATCTATTTTCAAGACTTATATATATATATGTATATATAAATATATATACACATACATGTAAAAAAGAGCAACATATTACTAGATTTTCTCTACACATCTTTCACGAGTTAATCCAAGCTTAGGATTCTGACTCTGTGACATTTCGGTTGACTGTGATTGATCGGCACCAAGCGTAATCGAAAACTCTCGACTTTACCTATTTCTCGCATACATGTGTGTGGGTGTGGGGGTGTTTGTATGTATATCCTATAACGTTTATGCATATCAACTTATCACGAGAAAATCAGATTTTTCTTCAAAATCTTATTTGCATATACTTTTTACTTTTTTATTACCAATCTTTGGAGGGGGGTGGTGGTGGAGGGAAATCTTTCTGATTTCATTTTTTACATTTTATTAATTATTTATTTATAAATTCTTATATATATATATATATGTATGTGTTGATGATAATTATAATAGTAGTAGACTGATAAAGTAAACAGTTTTCAAAAGTGTTACAACATTTTGTTTCATAATTTAATTTTCTATTTTTAATTCGATCTGGTAAGATGCGAAAGTAGAAGGCACCTGGGATAGAAAACCTTGAGAAAAACCTGGGTTCAGYGAGTGGTGCTGAGAATATATAAAAAACAAAGTTTGGGAATTCACTTGGTTAGATATTTTTGTACGATTAAGTTGATCAACATTTACAAAAAATCT